GTGATGAGGAACAGATCAAAAAGATGTTGATTTCCTCCAACCTAGTCAAGCAGACATCTTAGAGTAGATAACTAACAGTGAACTTTGCTAGGGGATCAAAACTTGTTTAGAAATCCCAAGAGGCCAGGTCAATGAATGCTAGAATGACTCACTCTATCACAACCCTTTTTGTTGTTGTTTTGCAGAGGTGACAGGGAACAATGCATTTATTTGGTAACACAAAGCTGACTTGAATCTTAACGTCCATGAATGGCATCTGAAGACATTTTCTATGTCTGTGAAAAGACAAGGCAGTGAACTCACTGAGCTAACACACATACTAAAACACACCCAAAGGAAGCAGGCTAGTATTGATAACAGAATTGCTTAAATAAATGTATAACCTACAATGTGATCTCAGGATAATTTTATTGAATTACTCAACCTCTCCCTCAGTTTGTGGTGACTTCTGAGGAGACTGAATGTACATAATATATGAACTGACAAATGAACAAGTCCACTACTTTACTCAAGGCTTTTCATTTGTCAACAGCATCCATGCAATACTGGCTTTCTGTCCCCTGTTTTCATAATGTATCTATTGATTACTTCCATCTAAATCTTTACTAGAAAATCTCAGGAAGCTTTGGAGGTGTCCTTATGGTCTCTAGGGAAGGAATTAGAGAGATTTTTAAGTTGAAAGATGAAAACCAAATGACAAACAATTTCATTAGTAAAAATGCAAACAAAACGTTATTACCTACAGTGTTGTTATAATCAAGGCCTAATTTCCATTTCAATTTGGGGTGGGATGAAGAGCATTAAATAAGCTCATGGTTTTATTGCCGTTCTCCTTAGAAATCCCCCACTATGATTTGCTCCTTTAAAACTCTCTCTAGGTTAATCACAGAAGTAGACAAGTAATAAATATCACTTTAGTGACTGCTCAAGTAAAACAAAGGAAGTCAGTTTTAAAAATATATCTGGACCAGAATAATACACACTAATTGAAAACGCGTCAGTCTAGTGAGGCAAGTAATGAGGAACCGTAAAAGCCAGGATAATGTATGCAAAAGATATAAAAATTGGTCAGTTTATATTTGCTAGGGCACATTTGAGCTTTAATTATTTATAACACTTCACTGCATATGGAGCATTATTTTATTAATTAGTCTTCAGAGTTATCCAGTTGCAGTTGTTATGCTGCCCAACTGGTTTGGGGAACACAGATCCACTCCCAAGGTTGTAAAAACCTGCTCTGGGGAATGAGACCGCAATTCCCAAATACCTGTGTGGACTCTCTTAGACTTTTACCTATAGGAAAACCATATACTCTTCAATCAGAGTCATTGAGATTGACTATGTATTTTTGCTTTAAGTAAATACAGTTCAGTTCAGTTGCTCAGTTGTGTCCAATTCTTTGCGACCCCATGGACTGCAGACATATGATATTTTGCGGTAAATTTCATCATTAATCTGCAATGATTTACTAAGAAAAGATAAATGGCCTCTTTTATAAGTATTCTGATCTATAGAAAAAAAGTGGAATATTTTTAATTACTATTTATACTTTTGCCATTTTAATGGGATTTGTGTTCCCATAAAAGAGAAACAGCATTAATAATTTCTAATAGATAGCAGGTGCTTTTTTTTAAAGTGACACATCAAATATATGGGGAACAAGTTTACAATAATAAGTGAGCCATCTTAAAAAAAAAGAAGTGAAACTTTTTGATACTAAAATATTTTATATAAACAGTATTTGGAGCGAGAAACCCTTCAAGAGCATGACATTTTCTAAAAAGGCTACAAAACAAAATCTGTTCAAGACCAGATCTTGACAGAGTTTTGTAATGACTACATTCCCTTTACCTCTTCCTAACTGGGTTCAGAAGCTCTGATAGAGAGACCAGGTTTCAAGGATTTTTCCTTTGTTCTTTTTGTCCCCAGGCAGTGAGTGCATCACGAACTAGATAGCAATTCCACAACAACCATAAAAGGGCTACTGCATAAGGGTGACAGAACTGAGTAAACAGGTGCTAAATTGTTCTCTCATCAACACTTAGGAGTGATGATGTTCTTTGAGGGAGTGCTTTGTGACATGGATTTTTCTTAAGGATACAAAGAAAATTTCATGGAAACATTAGACCAGAACACAAGGAAAACCAGAGGGCATCAAAGTAGCTTTACACACTATGAAAATATGCTTACTTGGGAGTAATCAAAAACCCTGCAAGTGAGGAAGGAACATCACTCTTGATTCTTTATCTCCCTGCCCTGGATCTCAGGAGGACAGAGAATGAAGAAGAGATTAGTTCATTGGCTGTTCTCCTCCCTTCCTGCCTCCTTATCTTCTTTCCTTAATTCCTTGGTTCCTTTATCTATTCAGTGTCTATCATGTACTAGACACTTTAGAAGGTGCTAGGTATAAAAATGACAACGCTCTTCCAAAAAGAAAGCTTCTTGGAGCACAAGGTTTAGTGAACGTGGTTGACATTAATCAAAAAGTCACACATATGCACAATGACAAGTAATGTTTCATCATAGAAAGAAAAGTATGGTGTTATGAAGACATATAAATGGAGATATAGTCAAATGTGAGCATTGGTAAAAAGCTTGCTTGATGTCTGAGCAAAGATGTGAAGGATTCTTAGACATTAGAATTTCCTAATTCTTATAATTAGGAAATTATGAGGGGGTAGGTTTGGGTAGAAAGGGTTTCAGACAGAGGATCAGTATATTCAAAGCCCCACTTGAGAGGAACAGAGAACTGGGGAAAAAAACCAAAAGCAGGCGTTATAGCTAGTGTTGAGAGAAAGAGGAAGAGCAGCATGGGAACAGAAGGTTGGAGCCAGACCAACCTTGGGGGGCTTGGGGGTCCTGCTGAGGATTTGTGGTCATTTCCCAATGGCATTGAAAAGCCACTGGGGAGTGTTAAGATGAGGACTGACATAATTCAATTTTTATTTTTACATAGATTACACAGACTGAAAATGTTGATTGCACTGTAGGGTGGTAAGAACAGATACAGAAAAGTGAGGAGAAAAGGTCTCTAGAAATGGTGATGATGACACAGTAGACAGGGTCAAGAGAAGTATACTGATCTAGTGACGTGTTAGTGTCAGAAGGCTGGAGGTTGGTCATCCTGAAAAGGTACTATGCATCAGTCTGCTCTGCTGTTGTTTGGATAGGAGAAACTAGTTAGTTAGATTCTCCAAGACTTAGGATTTTGTAGATGACAGCAACAAGAAGATAAGGAAGGAATTTAGGGTCTTGAAAGAGTTATCAATATTAAAATGCTTGATGATTGAATCTAAGTTGGACTTGGAGGGAGACAGAGAAGATCAGTGGAACTAATATACAGAACCAAAAGTTATCAATAGGCTGGAAGTCCTGATACACCACAGAGAGGAAGCAGATGGGTATATGAATAAGTATACTAACCAAGTGGGGATTAATTCACTTCAGTATGGTGATTGTTAACCAGAACTCTAACATCACATCTCCCTAAAGCATATTGTTGATCATCAGATTATTCAGTAATAGGACTGAGAATGATAAGGACTAACATTTTATTGGTGTTAGCAAGCAACTAAAGGCAATAATCAGGGAGAGTGAGGCTGCATTTATGACAAAAGGTAGGCTAGAAGGGACTGTGAAAAAACTAAGTGGATCAAATTCCTCATCTTAAAGCTGAAAAACAAAGGAGCAATCACCATCTCATCTATGGAGGAGGAGGGCTAGAATCCCAATCTCCTGAATCCTAGTGCCCCTGTCCAATGATTCATCACCTTTGATTTCTGGAACTAGAATAAAATGATACCTTTCGTACAAATTCTGTCTTATCTCACTATATCATATAACAAATTCTACTTAAAATGCCCATCCTTCTCAGTGAACCCTCTTCTACATATACACCAGAGTGTTTTAACTATTTATTCAAGTGTTTAGAACATTTAAAAATATAGCTATTCTATCATTTGTTGTTTAGTCGCTAAGGTATGTCTGATTGTTTGTGGCCCTATGGACTGAAGCAGTCTTACCAAGAAAAGTCAAACGCAAATATAATCCAGTGTGTAGAATTACACCATTCAGTAGAGTAGCTACTAGCCATATCTGAGCACTTGAAATGTGACTAGTCTAAATTGAGCTGTGTTGTACTCATTGTAACTGTAAATTTTTATATTGATTCCACGTTAAAATAACAATAATTATTGTTCTATAGCTATGTAAGATGTTATCACTAGAGGAAACGGGGTGAAATGCAAACGGAAACTCTCTGCACTATTTTTGGAACTTAACTGTGAATCTGTAATTGCTTCAAAGTGGAAAAAAAAAAGGGGATTTCAAAGACAAATTAGCCAAACACAATATGTGGAACTTATTTCAATGCTTGTTTAAACCAAAAACGCAACCCCCCAAACCTGTTAAAACATTTAAGCCATGTATATGAGAAGTAGAAATTTGAATACTGCCATAGTATTTGTCATGATAAAATTACTGAGGTTTAAAAAGTGTTACAGTAACAATGTGGTTACCTTTAAAGAGCAAATTCTTATCTTTTAGTTTTATCAAGTATTCATGAATTAAATGATCTGTACCTGAGATTTGCTTTAAAATAATCAAGGACAAAGTAGAAGTAAGATTGGCCATGAATTCATAATTGTTGGTTTTGATGGGTACACAGGGGTTTATTACAGAATTATGTCTGCTCTAGCATATGTTTAATATTTTCCAAAATAACACTTTAAAGTATCACCAAAAGACATAGGCAAATCTTTTTTTTTTTTGGTATAGACATGTGCAAATCATAAATGATATTATTAATGCAGATGCCTTTGACATTTAAAATATAATGGCTTGGATTATTTCTAATTTACCTTTGGACTAGAGGAGTAAAAACGATTTCTATTAAACTTGATTTGTTTTCTTTTTTTCAAACTAATCTCAGTCAAAACTAATTTTAAAATAGTTGTTGAATGCTTACTATGTGCAAAGCACTATGCTTAAAAATGTCCTACCCTGTGTATATCATTCTGCTTCTGAACTGCTGGGAAATCGCCTCCGATAGGTGCCTGACGGCTCAACTCATCGTCTTTCAGCTGTAGCCACACCAGAAGTTCCTGAAGAGAAAGGTGCAGACGCTTCCACTGGTCAGAACTGGCTTCCAAATGGGACCTGGAAAACAACAGGAGCAAACTGCATGAGAATATCTTGAAAGATAAATGATGGTTCTAACAATCCCATTAAGGTACCTTGGTTGGTTAGTTCCATAGTGTGTAAATGTACTGTGAATTATATAGCAGCCCTCAATAAAGGGGGGCTTCTTTGGTGGCTCAGACAGTAAAGAATCTGCCTGCAATGCAGGAGACCCGGATTCTGTCCCTGGGTCAGGAAGATCACCTGGAGAAGGAAATGGCAACCCACTCCAGTATTCTTGCCTGGAGAATCCCATGGACAGAGGAGCCGGGGGCTACAGTCTGTGGGGTCACAAAGAGTCGGACACGACTGAGTGACTTTCACTTCACTTCCTCAATAAAAATCTAGCTACCTGCTTTTGAGACCAACAATGGGGGGGTATTTTTGGGGGGCAACTTTGAGGGAAGACTGTTTAGCTATATGTTTATTTTAACGTGCAGAATTCTGAGACTTCTGGCATGAAATATACACTGGAAAGGATTGTTTTCCTATAGTGTTGCAGTCAATGACTCTTAATGTCTCTGGTAGAAAAACTTGGACCCAGTGACTAATATAAAGCACTCAGTTTCTGTGTGACTCATGCTAGGACTGGAATTCTTTCTGTTTTGAGAAATGGAAAGGTCTCTCCCCATATTTTGACTTTTCCATTTCTACACCCTAGGCAGCCTCTTCCATTGACTCCTTCCATCTGGCAACTGCTCCTCTCTGTGCCTCTCCCCATATGCTCTCCTCTGCATCGACCCTTCTTTATTCATGTGCACCTGGGACTTGTTTTCACCGAGTTCCAGCATTTTCCACTTTGTTTCCTCTATGTAAAAGGTACTGAGACAACAACTCACGTAGAAAAGTCAAAGCCAGACTTTGGCCTCCAAGCCTTCCCCCAACATGAATAATTTAGGCAAGAGGCTGAGTGCTTTACCATCAACTGTATTTAGAACATGGGAATCCATAGAAGGCATTTAAGACTATATAAATGAATGATCTGTGTTATAGAATCCGTATTTCACTTGGGGATAAGAAGCTAAATTAAGGCAATAAATCATCATCCAGAAAACAAAGAAACTCAGAATGTGAGTCAAGCTGTACCCTCAGGTAAATCAAGAATTATGCTGCATCACTTATATCTTATCAGCAATTACTAATTAATTCATAAAAATTAATGCTGCCTATAATATACATACAATATAGTTTCTAATGTTGCAAAGATTGAAATGCAGAGTCACCAGGAAGAAAAGCATTCCCCTTTGCCATTTCATAACTTGGCCTGATATTTCAAATACCAGTCTCCTGCTGGTCTTAGTCAAACAGAATCACCAAATAGTACCTAGGTGCTGAAATTAAATTACTCTAAAACTTTCTGAGGGAAATTTGATGATATATAAATGTCTTTAAAATGTGCAAATACAACAACCCACAACTTAAAACTAAGGAACTTATTCTAAGAAAATAACCGGGAAAGCATGCAGAGATACAGGTAGAAATCTGTTATTTACAGCATACATATGATTGATACAAAGTAGAAACAGCTTAAATATTCAATACTAGGAAAGTGCTTACATATGTATTAGTGAACTCATACAACGCAATGTTCAAATCCTGTGAATCCTACGTGATGTTCAATGTGATGACGTAGGCAAATATTCCCCGACATGGAAAAGATCAGTCTGTCCAGTGGTTAAGTAAGAAAGCAGGTTACAACAATGTATATCATTTATTTTTCTAACGTGCTCGTGTGTGTATCTGTGTGCACATGTTTGATTGTGCATGAAAAAAATTCTGAAACAACTAGTTTATCCCTCACAGCTGGATTTACATGTGATGTGTTCCTTTATCTTTATACTTTTCCAAATTGCTAGAATTCTCTATTGTGAGCCATATAGACATTATATTCAGAAAAAAAATGAAGGTATTTTCATCAGGGAAATTAATCTGTTCAAGACTCTAAGGACATTATCATCTAAGAAATGAATCATGACATACCATAAATATCATGAATTAAATGTAACAGTGAAGACTGCATATGGCATAGAGGTCAGTTCTTCTAATGTTTCTGTTCCCTCCTCCTATTTCAGTTATCACTTGCCCAGTATAAGCCAAATGAGAGCTCCCTATGCAAGATTTTAGCTGTTTAATGACATGTAATGACTACTGGTTAAAAGGATTCCCTAGGGAGTCTGGAATTTGCAGCTTGGGCCCCTTGGGGGTAAAGGAGGCTGTCAAGCAAGACACATTGAAAGGTAGAGACAGGCACAGTACAGACATGGAAATTGATTAGATAAATATTTACTGAGTGCCACTCAGTCCCAATCAGGCACTGGGGAGTAAGGAGAGTGGAAGGTAAAGCAGGATATAAGCATGTCTAGTGCCTGGCCTCCATGTTTCTGGTGAAGGAAATAATACCTCCCTGCTCAAGGGCAGGTGGACCAAGATAAGGCTTCCAACTGCTGCTTTCCTTACATAAGGCAATGCTACAACCCCATCCAGGATAAACGGTGCTGACCAATTATTAGCAGGTCAATGAAGCCCTCTGTGCCCCCTAAGAAAGAGGCAAAAAAAAAAAAAGCACTGAGAGCCAGGGAATTCCGTTCTAAAGATCTAAGAGAAACTTCCCAGCAGGAGATAGAGCAGCTGTGAAGGGCCAGGGACACAGGATAGACAAGAGAGTTAACAGAACAGAAGGGCCTGGGATCCTGTGTGATAGAAATCGCTCACTTTCCTGGGTAAGGGGGTCTTCCTTAGTCATCCCTGAGGCATGGAGTTAGATCACTTTCCCAAACATCTGATCACCTTAAGTACATATCAAATGACTTTCTGTTCCATGCTGAAGCCTGAGGATGAAAGGAAAGATGTGATCGTGGACAAAAACAACAAGCTTATAAAAGACAGTGGACAGTGGGTTCAGGCTAGAGAGGAGAAACCACAGTCAGATAATGGCTTCTGCTCTAAAACAACAGATAGCAAATTTATAGCCATGGTTCTCAAACTTTCATGTGCATATGAAACACCTGAGCAGCTTGTTTAATGTACAGACTGCTAGGTTTCACCCCAGATTTTTGGCATTTGAAATTTTTTATTGAAAAAAAAATAAAAATAAAGTCTTATCGCTAATTTACAATATGATATTAGTTTCAGGTATATAGCATAGTCATTTGGTATTTTTGCAGCTTACACTCCATTTTAAGCTATTACAAGGTAATGGCTATAATTCCCTGTGCTATATAATATATGCTTGCTGCTTGCCTATTTTATACATAGTAGTTTGTATCTCTTAATCCCATTCCCTTACTTTGTCCCTCCCCTCCTCCCTCTCCCCTTTGGTAACCGTGAGTTTGAAAATCTAAAAAATAATCAAATGAATGTATATGCAAAAAAGAAACAGACTCGCAGATACTGAATTTCTATATTTTGAACAAGGCTCTTCACAACTCTGCTGGTTGTGAGCTCCAGAACCACCCTTAGAGGAAGAATTTCTTAAAGTATTTCCTATGTGCCCTAAGCATTACTTATTGGTTTCCACAGGGCAAAGGTGGAATTTGCCAGTGACATGATTTTTAAGAAGATCTAACTGTAATGAAATGCTCTGAGCTCAGAAAACATTTTCTCTGGCCATGCTAAGCTGGTGGAGTGTTGTCAAGACACATTTCTAATGCATTTGTTGGAAGCAGCTGCCCCATTTTTACTTTCAAGATTGTATACCAGATATTTCTAAATGATTAACCTAGGTTTATATTTGGAGTTTTTAGTTTTTCTTGAAAATCTTCCTTTGTATTTGTAATGACTGCCCCACCCCTACCCAATTTTATCATAAACTCTTAGGGTCGAAAGGAATTTTAGAGATTATTCAACCCGCTTGTTTTGCAAATGTGAGAACTGAGAGACAAAGGTACAGAGACGTCTGCTGAAACATAAAACTTGAGCTGTCATATTGACGTGGGAAATGGAAACTACAAACTTTCCTCATATGAGGAAATCTTTAACCTTGATGGTTTCCACCAAATGTTTTGGAGTCCCTGAGCAAAATATATTTCCTGCTAATTGGCAAACGTACTCTATTTATCCCTACCTACTCAACAGAAAATGAAAGAGGATGTTTGAAGAGACAAACTTAGGTTCTATGCATTTTCTATTAATCTTTATTAGGATAAGAGCTTAGGGGTTACTAGCTTTTAGCAAGGCAAGTAGCAATCTTTAATAAGCAGATGATTTCTGTAATTTTTAAGGTTTAGGTAAAATGCAGAACCTTTAGGTATGCTGGGATATATAACTTGGTCTTTAAGAAACTCTTCAGTGTCAGGAATCTAAGAATTATAGGGCTGCTAAGGTGATTGTTATTTCTCTAGACACAGATATTTCAAGTGTGATTCAGTTGATGCCTAGTTTGAAATCCTTGATAAAACTTTACTCTGAAAGGCATCTATTCTTAAAGCAAAATGTGTTATATTGAATTCATTTTTCACTTTGACTTCCTTTATAAAACTAATGATATATCCCTGTATATCTTTGGTACTCTTGTGTAAAAAGATAGCATGCAAGCATACAGAAAGAAAAGGTAAGAGTGCAGAAATAATAAGGAACCACAGAAATAAAATGGGAGTTATGGGGCTTTAAATAAAGAGAATTAAGCTCAAAGAGAAGTAAACATCTTTTTTTCCCACTGAGCCATGAACTCCAACTTTCAAACATAATTAATATCTCAAGAGTAAGGAAAAGGTCAGAGACACTCAGTGTCCGAGTAGCATTTTTCTTTCAAAGACAGAAAGACTTTGCTTTCTTTTGCTTTTTTTGTCCTCCATCAGAGAAAAGACTTCTAATTATTCTAACTTCTAATACCTAGTACTTTCTAAGAGATTTCCTGCTGCTGTGGACCATACAATGTTGGTGTCCTCACCTCTCAAATGAATTTTCAAAATTTCATAAAAGGGATTATCTTTATATAATATCTACAAGTTTTTTCCCCAAGTATAAAAATCTCACATAATATAAATTTTGCTGAAATGATGTGGATGTATGTGATTCTTATAGTTAATAACATATACAATAATCTGAAAAATAAATCTAGTGGCAGATTAAATTGTCTGTACTTAATTCTTATGTAAAAAATTCACTTGATCACTTCTCAAATTATTCACATTTTCAAAATTAAAAGCACAATGTTTGTAGATACAGAACATTTTAGAATGAGAAACACCTTAGTTGACACATTGCCGTGCTGATGTTGGATGATGTCATCAGTGACTCTGTGTGTGTGCATGCATGTGTGTGTGTGTGTGTATACTTAAGTAGAAAATTTCCACTCTATTTTTCTCCCACTTAAAGCAGTTAATCTTTAGTTCAATGGCACTTAGCTATCACTGAGTATTTACTTCTCTTTCTTATATCTCTTGGACAAAATGAAATGTGATAACACATGTGGAACAGATGGCATATACTTTCTTTGAACTAAATTATGAGATACAATTTCAATTAAGGAATTCTTTTCTCTCAAAGACATTGTATTTACTTTCTCTTATATCATACCTTTGAACTTAATCAGTTCTTTTAAACATAAGAAAACCAAGGTAAAAAGCTCAATAATTTGCCATCACAAGGAGTGATTGTAGGATTTAAAATAATAGGATTGTAGAATTGCAAGGGAACTTGAAGAGACCACCCATGTATCTGGTCTAACTTCCTCATTTCTGCAAGAGAGAAAATTAAATTCTGAAGCATTAAAGTGATTTGCTCAAGAATAGATGCTAGGTAGTAACAGAGCCAGAGGAGAAACCACATCACCCAACTGTTGGTCCAGGACCATTTCAACTCTACCTCACCAACTCATTTATAACTTGGAGTTCTGTGTTTGTCTGATTTAGCTGAAGGTAGCTAGCATAGTCCTATGACACAACTCATGAATACTTCAAGAACTTGCCATCAAGTGTAATGAGAATAGTACAGGAAAGACCTGGTAAAGAAACAGTCAGAAAGGGAAACCTTGACTATGGAATTTGAGACAATATTTGGAGGATGAGAGGAGACACCATGTTCGAAGTGTGAGGACTAACAAATGTATATACTCATATGGGACAGTGAAAAAATTGTTTGAGAGCAGGGAGGGGGTTAGAAAGCAGAATTTATTTGAAGCAGAGATTTCATGTTGGGCAGTAACTAAATTGCTGCTTGGTGAGGAAGGAAGTGGGAAGCAGAGGAAGGACCGAAAGGGAAGGGGTTCAGTTCAGTTCAGTTGCTCAGTCGTGTCCGACTCTTTGCGACCCCATGAATTGCAGCACGCCAGGCCTCCCTGTCCATCACCAACTCCTGGAGTTTACTCAAACTCATGTCCGTTGAGTCAGTGATGCCATCTAGCCATCTCATCCTCTGTCGTCCCCTTCTCCTCCTGCCCCCAATCCCTCCCAGCATCAGGGTCTTTTCCAATGAGTCAACTCTTCACATGAGGTGGCCAAAGTATTGGAGTTTCAGCTTCAGCATCAGGGGCTTATTAGGCATAGTTGATGGAGAGTGAAAGGTTCACTAGATGCTAGTGACTAAATATAAGCTTCATGAGAGCAGGGATTTTCTTTGGTGTGTTTTGTCACTTGTGTACTCTCCAGGCCTAGAAGAGTGTCTATTACAGAGTAAACATCCAGTAAATATTTGCTGAATGAGCACATCAATCAGTGAGTGAAATATGGGCACCAAGATGGAAGTTCTTTACCAGAGGGATGATAGGATAGAAACAGTGTCCAAGGAAGAATATTTTTGTAAATCTGTAATGGATGGTCTCAATGTAAAAAGACAGAGACAAATCTTCCACTACGGAATGACCTGATGAAGCCTTAAATAAGAATCACAATCATAGGAAGAGAAATGTAAAAATGGCTTCAGAATCTCTTATGAAACAATGAACAACTGTACGTTTTCAGTATAATATGTTGTAGCTTAGGTAAACACAGGGCTGTCTTTCCAGGGTATCCTTGGAAGTTTTTTTTAATTGTGGTGACTTTTCACTATAAAATAATGCCGATGGAGGAACTGACCAGATTGGCAATGCAAGCTTTTCTGTCACTGATGGTTCTGTATCTAAGTGTTCCAGGGTTCATCTATCCTATTCCATAACCATCCCCAATTACTACCTCTACTGTGCTTCTCCCAGCTGAACCCTGCCATTCAGCACAGATTGACTGATACCCTTATTTCAGCCAAGCATCGGGAAAGAAACTGAATCGCTTTAATGTGAAGAATGACTTCCTTGCTTTTTTATAAGTGAGTGTTTATAACACATTCTGCATTATTTGAGAGCCCTACTTAAAAGCCAAAACCATTGATCTGAATATTTAAAGTCTCAAATTTGCAGTGCCTCAGATGAGCTAAGGTAACTGTTTTCTACTTGATTAATGACAGCAAGAATTCAACTGCAGTAGCTGGCATATGGGAAATTGCTGAGAATGAAAAGCCCATATTTTGGCTGACATGCTGTTCGCCACTTTCAATTCTCCTTTTATTTCATCAAGTTCACATGAAGGAGAGAAAAGGCACTGGGTGATGTTCAGAACAGTTGTAGCACCTTTCTTTTTCTCTCCCACAAGAAAAGAGTAACTTTCTTCTCTTTATCTACCAGCATCATTCCCATCTCACAAGTTTCATTCTTTTATAATGACAGATATTCTGAAAGTGGCTGGTGTCATTACAGACACTGACCTCTCTAAGAAATGAACCTGTAGAACACAAATGGAGCTTCCTTATCTTTGAAAATGCCATTGCCCCTTATTGCCCACAATGACAGGTCCATACAAAATTCATGGATCAAATAGGGAGAGAGAAATGAGTGCCTTGGAAGCTGGGGTACAAAGCTGGCGGGTGGGGGTGGGACCACAGAAATAAAAATACTTTTCTCCTCCCAGAAATCGGCTTCTCTGTTTTATCGTTTCACATATTACATGTTTATGTGTACACATTAGGTGAGACTTACCCTCTCCTTCTGCCTTCATATTCTCTGTCATAATATGATGGCTCAAAGCTCAGACTCCCGAACCAGACCTCCCTACATTCTCATCTTTGATCTGCCACTTACTAACTAAGTGACCTTGGGGAAGCTATTTAGCCACTCCCTGCGTTAGTGTCTTCAAATGCAAAGAGAGGATAATAATAGAATGTCTCTCTTGGAGCAGCTGAGAGTGTTAAATGGGTCAACAAATCTACAGTGCCCAAGACACCGCATGCTATGTGAAGCATACCGTGTAAGTGTTTGTTGCTACCATCATCATGTCAGATGAAGTGCAGATTTCTACAAGAGTGCTTTCAAATGAAGAAATTCCAGTTATAGTTTGTCCTCATTATAGAAGCAAAGACACTCTACGTCCAAATTTGGGACAACTTAGAAGAACTTATTAAGAAGAAAAACCATCTCCCTCTGGTCATTACGACTGAGTGGTGGTAACTCCACCACTCCCAGTGTGGAGTGCGTTCTGCTTCTCCCTCCCTGCAATAACAGACCTCCTCTCGACAAAGAAAGAAAAAAGAAAAGAACACAAAATACTTTATAAAGAGACATGAATTAGGCAAAGCAACTGATTAGAAAGCAGGAAGCCTGCTTTCCAACCCTGCACCTCCTATGTCACCCAGGTGACCCTGGGCATTTCATTTCCTCACTCTCTCTTCCTCAGCCTCCATTGAACTACTGCAAAATGGGTACAAGCAAGAGTGTCACTCTGCCCTCCTTACAACAAAGCTGGGATGTGTTCATTATCTTCTGAAGAGAATGTTGTTAACACAGAAAAGGGCAAAGTATGAAATAGGTGGGTATAAAATGGCTAAAGGCAGAGTTTAGAGAGGATGTGGAAATACAATGTGAGAGGGACAAGAGGCAGGAAGGAGCTGCCATCTCTCCAGGGCTGTGGGAGCTGTGGGGAGATTTCCTTTAAGTTGCTAACTATAACGTGTTATGGTATTTGAAGAATGTCCTCAGTAATGCATTTAGAATAATGCCAAAGCAAGAATTCCATAATAAACATACATCAGTTTTATCACTTTTTGAATTACCGTGTGATAAACCAAGAGAAAATGCTATGAAATAGGATAGCTGAGCTCCTCATTTGAATTCACTCTAATGTCTTAATATATATGTCTCCCATGGTTATAAAACAGCACTATTCTGATCGCATCTGAACCCTCAGCTATCACCTCCATACGGAGCAAATAAATGATTCCTTTATTAAAAATAAAACAAGTCATTCCGAAATTGGGGGATTTACATAAATAGGAGATATTGTGCTAGGAAAATGAGGGGAAGTTTGCCATTTTAATTTCTTTCTGGCCTATTTTAGTTCAGGATCTTTTCTTACCTGATGTTGAGAGACTTTTTTCGCAGCTCACTCCACTTGAAATTCATGTTATCCAAACGTCTTTGTAACAGGACCGCGTCATCAGAACCTTCCAGGGATCTCAGGATTTTTTGGCCATTTTCATCTAGGTTGTGATAGATATCTGTATGAGCTTCGATTTCTCCTTGGAGTTCCTACGGGGCATCAGTGAGAAGAACACATGCAGAATTACTAAACAAAAAAGAGACTGGCTGTGACTGTGAATTTGGCAAAAAAAAAAAAAAAATTAGACTATTAGTTCAAAAGGCATTTTAATGGTTCAACTAACAAGAAGATATACCTCCAACTAACAAAAAGATACACCTCCAACTCTTCCTGGTATATTATCTCTTTATGTTATTATGCAGATTCAAATTCAAAATGGGCATCTTGCTAGGTATAATAAATTTATTCCTTGAGATGAATTGGGATATAATATTTATATTTATAACTTTATATATAATACAAAATAATTTATATTTATAACTTTATAAATTTCTTAACTTCTGTTTTCCAGTTCATGGACAAAATACACTGTTTATGGTAGTGATAGGAAATAAAACTGCGTGATTAAGGGCACCCTGGTGCCAATCACCGTATTACACTCTGAGTCAAGTCATATTTTCCAAGCACATAGTACTGTGTAGAATCAACTCGAGCCACAAAAGCATGGAGAGACTAATAAACAAGGTTGAACTGGTCCATAGCACCAGCACATTCATGGGATTTGATCATACGAGCCTCTTGACAATACACATTAAGTTCACCTTGGTAAGACAACCTCATACATTTATTATAGCATCACACATTTGGTAAGATTTCCCATTTAAAATCCCATCACATTTTTAGGCTCAACAGGTGGAAAAGTCCCAAGGACCTTTATAAGAGTTATAAGAAGTGATGCCTTCAACCTCATTTGCCTATACACAGATCAAGAAAATTATCATAGTAGAAGAATCTGACCTTTACATGGTATGTCTTCCTGTGTAACATTTTCAGCTTGAACCGGGGACTACAGCACTGATCCTGTTGCATAGCAATCCTGAGAAAACCCAGCGACTGAAAAAGCCCTGCTTTAAAATGCCAACTTTGCTTACATTCTGTTGACAGAATGAATTTCAGAGCACAGGCCTCACCAGTCAATAATAATAAACAGCCACTCTGTACTCCTCACTAAACGGTAGCCAGGCCTGTGGATGTGGGAGGGACCTCGCAGAGAGGAGGCCTGGAATATGCAACTGACAGTTTATATTACACAGCCAACTTTTCTTATCATTTTGCCATTATAAGCCAGGGACATTATAAATTCACTTTCTATGTGTGTTTCCCTCCTTGTTCCCAGCAGAACGGTCAAAGCTAAAGGAACATTCCTTAGAGAGCTGCTGGCTACTAGCATTCCTTTCTGCCCACACAATGAATGGAGGCTTTGTACATTATCTGACTTGCTCTGAGAGATTTGTATGCTTCTGTTCAACAAGTTTAAAAATTCATTCTGAAGCTCTGAACAATTGGATTGATCTGTGTAACTAGAAGAGCCCCCCCCACCTTTCTAAAATTGAATTAAATTACTCTTCTAAAGGAAGGAAGGAAAAGTGGCAGCAATAACATATTACAAAATCTGAGGAACTGGCCTGTGTTTTCAGTCACGGCCTCTTAGATGCAGGATTTTGAATGTTTCAGGGGTCAGGTAGATTGAAGATGAATGACTCCTGTCACGGTTTTGGGCAGCCAAAGTATCACTCATGGACTCTAAGAAGAATTGTCTGATTCCCTTCGACTGGCAGGCAGGAGGGGAATGTGGAAAAACCATGTCTGAATTCGAAAGACTAGAAATACTAAAACAGATCGAGGAACATCTATCTTTATCCCATCAAAAACAGGCTTGTTCTGGAAGGGAATAGCCTGATTTTGAAACTAGCTGATGTGGTAGAAAGCTAGTATTGGGCTTCTTGCTGAACGGAGCATGATCAAATATATATGCAATTTACATTTGTGTACCTACATGGGAAAACACGCCCTGCTGAATTTGCCACTTCTTCAGTGAAAGAGCAAAGTGAGGTTAACATATCTAAATAATTCAGGACTAAAACCCAAACAGATTCAAGTTCTCAAGATAACGCCCCCCACTTTTCTCTTTTACTTTACTCTTCTTGTTGTATTTAATTTGTTTGCTACCTACAACTGTGCCTCAGAGCATACACTTAAGGAATTAAGACCAAACCTTTTGTTGTCAACAAATGAAGATATTTTCACTGATACAATCAGCTTTCTACATTAGCACGCATATAAATCATAGTACATTTGAATTTTTATATCCTGCATTTATAGCAGAGACCCAGGCTTAACCAATAGTTCCTTAGAGATTATGTGTATTGTGAAGTCATCAAGACTTTGCTGAAGAAATGAGAGGTCTTCCCAAGCATATATAGGATGGTGATGCATGGGTCTGCTAGTTTTCATCTTTGCCATTTACACTGCCCTGAATTTAAACATCTGTGTTGTATCATCAAGAAAGAAATGAATATAAAATGGATAAAGTGGTATTTGTTGAGGACCAGTTATGTGTTTAGCCATAGCACTGTAGGAAATATAAGAGGAAGGCAAGAGACAGTTATCCTTGTACTTTTTCTAGAATCTAGTGTGCACTTTTTCTTTAACTCATTCATATTACTAACTACACATTGAGAATTCCCTGCCAAACCTCATAGATACTCAGATTAAAATTTCTTCCCTTGGAGATTCAGAAGTAGCTTAAGTAAAGTCCTGACATTGGCAAGAAAGTAACTCAACTCAGTACTACTTCTCTAATTAATGATGGAGGTTTGGAGCAGCAAATGTCACATGTATAGTAAGAGAGCTTTACAGTTTACAGTTCAGTCGCTCAGTCGTGTCCAACTCTTTGCGACGTCATGAATCGCAGCACGCCAGGCCTCCCTGTCCAGCACCAGCTCCTGGAGTCTACTCAAACTCATGCCCATTGAGTCAGTGATGCCATCCAACCATCTCATCCTCTGTCATCCCCTTCTCCTCCTGCCCTCAATCCCTCCCAGCATCAGGGTCTTTCCCAATGAGTCAACTGTTCCCATGAGGTGGCCAAAGTACTGGAGTTTCACCTTCAGCATCAGTCCTTCCAATGAACACCCAGGACTGATCTCCTTTAGGATGGACTGGTTGGATCTCCTTGCAGTCCAAGGGACTCTCAAGAGTCTTCTCCAACACCACAGTTCAAAAGCATCAATTCTTCGGCGCTCAGCCTTCTTCACAGTCCAACTCTCACATCCATATATGACCACTGGAAAAACCATAGCCTTGACCAGATGGATCTTTGTTGGCAAAGTGATGTCTCTGCTTTTTAATATGCTATCTAGGTTGGTCATAACTTTCCTTCCAAGGAGTAAGAGTCTTTCGCACTTACAAATGTATTGCTTTAGATATTCCTACTCCTTGCCCTGTGAAGTACATGGTATTTTCTCTGTTTTACAGATGAGAGCACTGAGGCTCAATAATGTGTAACTGATTTGCCAAAAGTGTTAAATGTGGTCAAGGGATGCAGTTCTTTTGACTCTGGAAGATCATAGGCTGTCTACACACCATTTGCAATAAGCACTGGCTGTAATGAACAGTGGTTATTTATTCAAGCTGAACAAGATTACTGCTAACAAGGGGGAAAAATGACTATTGAGGCAAGAGCACATGGAAAGACAGCATTGCTGCTTTTGATCAAAATTTACCCACACGGATTGATTCGTTCAAAATGAAAAATGGAATCCTGACTACTCTTTTCACTTTGCTACTGGGTATCTGGGACCACCTGTGAGGCAAACTTCTTTGCATGGAGAAGGTCTCCTTACTACAAAATATCCCTGCTGACAGAACAGAAATTCTCTCAGCATTAATTCATTCCTTTGTCTAAAGGAACCATGTGAACATTACATGAAGTAATGAGGTGACATTACAGCAGGGACACAGTTTGACCATGTTCTTTTGGGTTGGCGGGCTGGTAGGGATTCCGTCAAACTACAGGACCCAGGTTGGTTGCTCAGCCATGGAGCTGAGGATCCGTGGGAACCAGAAGGTTTCTTTAGGAAGTCAGCATGCTGGAGTGGAGATTTTTCAGTACAATCAGGCAGCAAGAGTCCTAGGCAGGGAGGGAGACAGCCACAGGGGAAGTAGGAAGGCACTTACTCACACTAGCATAAAATTACCACCATGGCATTTATCTAAAGATGAACCTTTAGACTCAGGGACCCCAGAAAAGCAGGATGTTGGGATGCAGAGTCAGGTGGACTTCTCAGAGGAGACCCAACCTGGGCAAAAAGTAATTTCCACAGATATTTTTAAGGAGTTTCATTTCACTCCTGACTTAACAAGAAAACATCACTCAAGCCTTAGTTGCTTCATTTTCTGTAAGTTTTATCTTCTTTTTGTGATTGTATTCTTTAGGGAGAACAAGAACTAATGAACAGGGGGAAAACGGATATGTAACAACAGAGACCAAGCAACAACATATATAATAAGACTTCTTTTATGGCAGACACTGTCTAAAGCACTGGATATACATGAGCTCGTTTAATCCTCTCGGTAACTCTCTAGGGTAGACATTATGAATATCTTCTCTTTACACATAAGAGAGTGAAATTACAGAGAGGTTCTGTAAAAAACACACAAGGTCACACAGCTAATAAATCATGCAGAGAGATTTTTCAAACCCTGGCCATCAGACTCCAGGGACTGGACTCATACCCACTAGGATCTATCGCCTCTAACTTTTTTCCTATTAATTAAAACTGTTTCCTATTAATTTTTCTTAGTAATAATACTCTTGCTCAAATTGCAGCAACTCTAGCACTGCCATTAGACAAGGTAGACTAACATTGTTTTCTGTATTCCAAGAGTGATTTTACGGTCTTATTAATATGGAGACTGTTAAACACATCTGAGGAAGTGAACAGATATATCCAATTCAACGAGAGCATAAAATAATTGAGAAGATGGGTGTGTTTACATTTTATGGTGCCTAGTACTGACAAATGTCATATGCCTGTATTAAACAGATGAATCCATAAAAAAAGAAAAGAATATGTAGCCCCTCCCCTCAGAAAGAGAACTTCACTCTAAAGTTATGTATAATTATGGAGCAAATTTCAACTGTGAA